CTGATACATGTATACCTGAGTGTTTATATCAACTGATACATGTATACCTGAGTGTTTATATCAACTGATACATGTATACCTGAGTGTTTATATCAACTGATACATGTATACCTGAGTGTTTATATCACCTGATACATGTATACCTGAGTGTCTATAACACCTGATACATGTATACATGAGTGTTTTTATACATTTATTACCTGATGTACATGAATGTCTACCTACCCCTAACTAATTACCTGGAACATTTTGTCGGGAAGGCTTGTGATCTTGTTGTCATGTATGAAGAGCTTGGTGAGACAACTGAAGCTTTGAGCAAGGTCTGGAAATATGCTCACCAGTGAATCAAGGGAGGTAAGAGCATTACAGGATAGGTCAAATAGGGAAGGCTGTAACAGGGCCTGGTCAGGGCTCGTCACCCTCCTCTCCTGGTCTAAATATATATATATATATTTTAATTATATAGGTAAATTATATTTTTTCAGGCAGAATAATTCAATATATAATTTTCATGACAGCAATAACCTCTCATTTTTACACCAACATAATGAGTTGCACAATAGCATTGCTTTGAGACAGTATATGTTTAATGTGTATTAGGCCAAAACATGGGTACTGTGGAATCGGAACATAATACGCTCACCATACATTCAATGAGCAGTTGTCTGTATGGTTGAACATAAGGGGCCATAGCTCCATAAATTACGGTTGGACAACGATGGTTACCAAACTTGTCTGAGCCATCATGATAATGAACCTTTCTATTAAGTTTGAAGCTAATCCGTTGAAACTTACTTGTGATATTGAGCGGACACTGTTTTGGCAATTAAATAAAGGGCCATAACTCTGTTTATTAAATTCCAATAATTATGGTTATCAAACTTGTCTGAGCTATCATGATAATGAACTTTCCTATGAAGTTTTAAGTTAATTCCTTGAAAATACTTGAGATATCGACCAGACACTGTTCGTGCGCGCCTACACACCCGCCCGCGTGATAACATATTACGTCCCGTCATTCCAATAAAAGTATAAAAACCTGTATGTGTTTCAGGTATCCTGACCTTCCCTAGATTTCCCTGCCTACCCTAGAAAATTGATCACTTATTTGTATCTACGCTTAATTTATTAGCCTGGCAATGCTCACAGCCACTCAAGATATCAAAATGCACGTTCTTCTTGTTAAAGGAGTTAGATCCTATTCTCGACAAATTAATGCATGGCCATTGTCATGTGTATCAATGCATTGTAAAATTTGATACAAAGCATAATATTGATTCAGGAAAATAAAAAATAAATAAATTAAATTAAAATGATTTGCCTACCAACCTACCCTCTTTTTTCAGGCATGTTACCAAATGAATTATGTTTCTGACCTGGTGTTAAAATAGGTCTTTTAAACTATTACCAAAGCATTAGATGTAATGAATGGAATCTAAAAGTGATATACAGAGCAGAATTAGCTCATTCACCCCTGAAATTTCAAAATGAACTATTCCAACCTTTGAATTGGAGGAGTTCAAATGTGTCTTCAGGGGTGAATGAGTTAAGGAGATATGCACAGCTCCACGGACTATATATATGGGTGTTAATGTAACCATGGTAACCAAGGACTGTACAAAGCACTGAGAGTGAATACCTGATGACATGGAGTCCACACTACTGATCGGTGACCTCGTCACATGTCCCTCACTGTTACGCCTCCTGTGTCCTCGTAACTTGAGGTCTCCTTCGATCCCTAGAGCAGGTACGGAGAGTCTCTGTAATCATTTACACAGAATATTTTAAAGAACAGAACACAGACAAATCACAAAGATATAATAATAATTATACTTTGAGGTTCTTATATACTGCTTTATCACAACCTAGTTTGTAGTTCATCTCAAAGCGGTTCGCAAATTATTATCCGTGGTAAACTGGTATATGTATCTAATCTGTCATAATCTCTTCTCTCCTAAACCTCTCATTCTTCTTTGTAGGTCTATAGAATATCAATAATGTTACAGGTTCAGCAAATTGTATATATATATATATATATTCTATTCAAATTGAAATAATTCCGTGCATATGGCACTTTGATATGTTACCTAGAAGGAACTCTAAAAATGTGTATTATATGGACAAACGAGCAGCTGATGTGAAAAGAATGTGTAGCTAGTGCATGCCATGCAGTAGTTTAAGTTTAAGTGGTTTGAAAATATTCATACTTTGAATGAACCTTTTGTATCATTCAAAATATACTCTCCTCATCTTTATGATCTCTTCTGTCTTCCAAAACTCTCTCTTTTTTTCCTTTTTTATCTATGTTCCTTGTCTTAATACAATTATTTTGATTGGCATATGTCACTATCACTATCAGTGTAATATTATAGTTGAGGAGAGGGCTTCTATAAATTGTTATAACTTGTGCCCAATCCATTTGATTATATCAATAAAATATGTTTAAATAAAAAAACTCATTACAGCCGAGTAGACTGGAACAAGCGGAGTAAAGTATCTTGCTCAAAGTAACAATACAGTGCCATGTCGGGACTCGAACCCGCAACCCTTCGGTCACGAGCCCAGCTTCCTCCCACTAGACTACTGTGCCTCCATCATACAACTGTTTGCATTGCTATGAATTGTTGAAACATTACAATTGATCCTCGATACATTTTTTAAGGGTTGTAAAGTTTATTCTAGTGAACTGGTTGAAAAAAACATCCATAAGTAATAATTTACAAAGCAGTGTACAAAATAAATGTAGTAACCTGTACTTATTGTACAGTATTACTCACTTTGTGTGTACTCGTGTGTTACATCACCACTGTGTGTGTACATGTACTTGTGTGTTATGTCAGCACTTTGTGTGTACTTGTGTGTTATGTCAGCACTTTGTGTGTACTTGTGTGTTACATCACCACTATGTGTGTACATGTACTTGTGTGTTATGTCAGCACTTTGTGTGTACTTGTGTGTTATATGTCTCCTTTATGTGTGTACATGTACTTGTGTGTTATGTCACCACTTTGTGTGTACTTGTGTGTTGTGTCACTACAATGTTTGGGTTGTATAAAATTCGGTCACCATACTGATGTTTTTGGTCAACTATCTTCCACTTTCAACCACAAGATACAGCAATAAATACCCAGTACATTAGTGACTTTTATCTTATCTATACATGTATGACATTTGTCTGCTCCAGGCGCTAGATAATACATCATTGGCCAGTTATATAGTATGTGATCATAAAATTACCCTCAGTGTACTGTGTATCAGCTTCAACACATGGCAGAGATTGTGTAATCAGCATCAAAATGAGCAGTCAAAAAAGAATGATAATATAATGAACTTTAAATATATTCGGACCATAATTATAAATTATAAGAGCATGCAGATAACAAAGATGAGATTTAACAATAAATATTTATATCACCAATACCCTTCCGTGCTGATCCTTCCTGTTGTTGTAACTCGTTGCACAGCTCTCAAACTTGGGCAGAGATGGAGAAAGGTTTTGTTTCTTACGCTTCCATTCACCTGTTAAATAAAAGTCTATTGTCATATTTGTCCAATATAACAACTATTTAAATTTGTCTGATTTTGATTAAAACTTCTCAGCTACTTATTATTGTATCGTTTGGTAGAAATCTTTCAAACTTTAAACATGTATAAAAAAAATCTAAACATTTTCTTCAGGTTGGTAAGTAAGAATTGTGAAAAGATTCATGTAGCACAACCAATAAGTGTTATTATGTGACGTTTCGATGACTAGTATGGTATGTACTCTGCCACCTTCATCAGACAAATGACCAGTGAAGCATATGTACACAAAGGTGTAAAATGTGTGCAAGTTGACACCAAACCGATGTTGATTCAGCTATGCTGCGTATGGGGAATCAGATCTAGATCTTATCATGTATACCGTTACATTGATTACATATTCATTTTTTCCTATGATAATGGGATACCTTTGTAGCCGAGTCTCACTGAAGTAGCCTCCTTCTCGGTCTGTCGCAGTCGCGGGTCGGACGGACTGTAAGGTACATTCGCTCCTGTCAGTGTTGTCGTCTTCCATTCGTCAACGTCGCTGTAACTCGCCTCAAATACAGGTACATTGATATCTTCTGGAGACGTGGGACCAAGTTCAAACACAGGCCGATCTTCATTAGGACTACCTGTACATCAATATAAACTTATTTTATCAACAATAATTTGCGACTTAATTGGAAGCCATCCTCATATTTTATAAGTCTCAAAACTATACATGCAAAAGTTTTGACCAAAGAAAACCTAAATCTTCAATTTGGGTTAAATCTTTCAAATACATCTTGAAAAGAGATAACAAACTTTATCACTCCAAATCCTAAATGGCTGCCTGGTGGCCATCTTGCTTTTCCAATCAATTCAAAACTAAACATGCACAACTTATATATTAGTAGAATGGGGAACCAACTTGATACAAACCAATGGAGGATTTCATGATAAATATGTATAACAAATCTTCACATCTTAGTCTGAAATAAAACAAGTACAGACCATCGGATAATGGTGGCGTAATGATGCATTGCTTGACAATTATTGCGAATAAAAAGGCATAACTCTTACATGTCACTTGTCTCTTATTATGTTAAATATAATGAAAACACATCATCTGAGTCTGTACATTCCAGTACACCCACCTATCTGACGTTGCTGTGGAGGTATAACTTAGGCCAAATAAAATATAGGTGTGTTTCCTGTTTCGGTTCCAATAAAAAAAGGGTAGGTAGCTATGTATAGGTAGGGAAAACATTTTGTTTTTATTCTTTTTCTGGTGGAGAAAATCTCCTGATTACTGGAATGTTGAAAATATGTTATTGTTTTAATGAGGAATGAATGGAATCAAATATATAATTCTTTATTCATGTAAACAAATACACAAATGAAAAAATCCCTGCATTCCTAGTTTTTGTGTTGAACAGGTAGGTCCAAGTGACAGATTGAAGTAAATTATTATTTGACCCACCTAGTAAATGTTTATGGAATAACCAACGTAATTTCAAGGTCATTGATGTTTTCAATTTGTTTACCAGTGTTATTTTGTGTAGCTAATGCTATGACTGTGGTATTTTCATTTTTTTAACATCAAATAATATTATTAATCAGGAGACAAGGTAGTCTAGTCGTAAGACATCGGGCTCGTGACCGAAGGGTTGCGGGTTCCAGTCACATCATGGCACTGTGTTGTATGTTTGAGCAAGATCCTTTACGCTGCTTGAATTGTTCCAGTCTACTCAGCTGTAAATGAGTATGTGGTTGGGCAGTGCTTGAATTGTTGAATGCTAGCTGTGAGTGCCGAAATGGCAGCACCGGCTGTATGCTCCCCAGGGAGTTGAAAAAGATGTTGGCTGGTTGCAAAGGCCCTATAACCACAAATAATAATGTGTAAACCGCTTTGAGACGACCTACGAACTAGGTTGTAATAAAGCGGTATACAAGAACCTCCAATTAATCATTATTATTAATAAAATTGTAATCAGGCCTTTTTGTTTGGGGTTGAAGGTACATGTACTTGTAACATCTAAGTACATTTGAAGAATGGACTTTATATAATTGAATTAAAGTAATTGTTCATCAACAAGTGTTTAAATGAATATTATGATAAGGCACTAAGAATTACAATTACATAATGACAAGCAAAATGTATTAGGGTCGGCTTGAAAAAAAAGGGTCTGTCGGGAAACGGGAAACACAGCTATATCTTTATTTGGCCTTATTTATTTCTTGTTTTATTGAGTTTTGATTGTTTGCACTTGGCGACTGCCCCAAGTAGCTAGGCCTCGACCACACGACGAGGTGGAAGGTTAAATGCTTTTACAAGTCGATGACAGTGGCCAGGTTTCATTGAATTTGGTTTAATCACAATTCCTTATAATCTAACATACAGTAGTGAAAAGCTGGGTGATACCCTGAAGGAAACAATTCTCTCCCTCAGCCAGTCTAACCTACAAGTAAGCCAGTCTAAAGTAAGAAATATTCGTACAGTCATCCAGTGTGATGTGGGGAAATCCTGCCAACGTCTTTGGTCGTTGTTTTTGTGTTGGGTGAGTTGGGGTGTGAGGGGCTGTGGACAAAGTCTTTGGTCGCTGTCTCTGTGAGGAGACAGACTCTGGGCTGGGCGACCCGTGACTGTTGGACGGAGACGGTATCAGACTATTGTAACTGGTCACAGGAGATAGCGCATTAGAGGAGGAGAAAGAGAAAGGTATCGGAATGCCTTCCCCCTTCTGATGCTTCAGTGTAGAGCTCCTTCCTTCATACGAAACCTGGCGCACCACCGGAACACTTTGTTGGAAATTGTTTTCTGAAAAAGAAAATGACAATACAATGTCACTTCACTTTATGCATATATTTCAACAATTATTTCAGCTCAACAGACACAATATCGGTTATCCAAACATAATGTTGCCACCAGCACTCACTCGTTCTTTTAGTTTTTATATTTGTTTTTTTAGCTTGACAATATTTTATAAACATCAACTGAAATTCACTCTAGCAAGCTATGTATATATATATATAGACCCAATATCAATGTTAAGGTACCCTCACACTTTATACAAGTCTTTACATTACGTCTGAGGCATCTTGTTTCTTTATGTTCATCAATACATGTTTCAATGCATTAATCCCTGTGACCTTTAAAGTACGTCAAAGTCATCTAAACCGGTACATTATAGCCCTTTATCCTACTAAGCTACAGGAGTTGACTGTAGGCCTTATGGCTCTGCAAACAAAATCTCTTCTTTTTAGAAAAGCAAATTTAGGTTTATTATAATATTTCTGTGATTAAATCTTATTTTATTTCACATAAATATATGACAATTTGAAATAATGAGACGTGGACAATAAATAATTTTACCATTATCTGCCCAAGAGAAAAATTATTGATAGTTATGCCTATCATTATATGTCCATCATCTATTGCCCCTAATAAAAGGTTTCAGATGCTGTCAGTAGCTCTAAGCTTCAGGTCAAAATGGGGCTGGTCTAAAGAAACGGCTTTGTAACAGAAGATTAGATGGAATCAAAATAATACAAACAACCCACTTTTAACAAAACCGTCGCTATGGTGACGACGACGTTCTCCCTTGTAGCGGAAGTATTTGTTGTCGAGTGCTACGTTGTTGTTGGAGGCTGTGAACACAGCTGAGCGTGACACATGTTTCTCCTGGCCTTTCTTTATCTTATTCAGGATGAGCTTCCCACTCTCTGTAACGAAATATTTACAAAACACATCTATGTACAGCATCTCTATCCATACAGTGTATATATACTGTCATTTAAAACATTAGAATTACTTCAGATATCAAGATAAAGGTTCCTGAACTCAACACAAACAAGTGGAGTTGTCAGGGTCAAGGTGATCTGACCGGAGCCGCTACCACCTTATATTACTATAACTGCTCCTTTAACAGTTACCACTCAAATATGAATTTGACATCTAAAGTGAGAAAAGCATCTGTGTATTTCAGGACATGCCTGATGTCTTCTGATCAAGACTTACCAGTAGAGCCAACACCAGTTGGGTTAGACAGAGCCATTACGAACCAGTCAGGGTGGAGCTCTTTGAGGCCCTGGCCAGCCCAAGGCATTATCAAACCTGTAAATGATAACATTACATACAGCTATAATGTATACCAGTGTAATACATACAGGTGTAATACATACAGGTGTAATGCATACAGTTGTAACATAGACAGGTGTAAAACATACAGGTGTAATACTCAAAGGTATAATACATATATGTGTAATACACATACCAGTATTATGTAATACATGCAGGTGTAATAAAAACCAGTGTAAAACATACATGTGTAATACATACAGGTGTAGTACAAACAGGTGTAATACACACAGGTGTAATACATACAGCTGTAACACATACAGATGTGATATATACAGGTGTAATATATACAGGTATAGTACAAACAGGTGTAATACACACAGGTGTAATACAAACAGATGTTATACATACAGAAGTAATTCATACAGGTGTAATACAAACAATCCTTATTGAAGTGTCCCAGTAGTATGACTTACCCTCCCGGTCCATATTGATGTGTCCCAGCAGTATGACTTACCCTCCCTGTCCTTATTGATGTGTCCCAGTAGTATGACTTACCCTCCCTGTCCTTATTGATGTATCCCAGCAGTATGACTTACCCTCCCGGTCCTTATTGATGTGTCCCAGCAGTATGACTTACCCTCCCGGTCCTTATTGATTTGTCCCAGTAGTATGACTTACCCTCCCTGTCCTTATTGATGTATCCCAGCAGTATGACTTACCCTCCTGGTCCTTATTGAAGTGTCCCAGTAGTATGACTTACCCTCTCTGTCCTTATTGATGTGTCACAGCAGTATGACTTACCCTCTGTCCTTATTGATGTGTCCCAGCAGTATGACTGTATCCCAGCAGTATGACTTACCCTCCTGGTCCTTATTGAAGGGTCCCAGTAGTATGACTTACCCTCTCTGTCCTTATTGATGGGTCCCAGCAGTATGACTTACCCTCTCTGTCCTTATTGAAGTGTCCCAGTAGTATGACTTACCCTCCCTGTCCTTATTGATGTGTCCCAGCAGTATGACTGTATCCCAGCAGTATGACTTACCCTCCTGGTCCTTATTGAAGGGTCCCAGTAGTATGACTTACCCTCTCTGTCCTTATTGATGTGTCCCAGTAGTATGACTTACCCTCCCGGTCCTTATTGATGTGTCCCAGTAGTATGACTTGCCCTCCCGGTCCTTATTGATGTGTCCCAGCAGTATGACTTACCCTCTCGGTCCTTATTGAAGTGTCCCAGTAGTATGACTTACCCTCCCTGTCCTTATTGATGTATCCCAGTAGTATGACTTACCCTCCCTGTCCTTATTGAAGTGTCCCAGTAGTATGACTTACCCTCCCTGTCCTTATTGATGTGTCCCAGTAGTATGACTTACCCTCTCTGTCCTTATTGATGTGTCCCAGCAGTATGACTTACCCTCTATGTCCTTATTGATGTGTCCCAGCAGTATGACTTACCCTCTCTGTCCATATTGCTGTGACCCAGTAGTATGACTTACCCTCTCTGTCCTTATTGATGTGTCCCAGTAGTATGACTTACCCTCCCGGTCCTTATTGAAGTGTCCCAGTAGTATGACTTACACTCTCTGTCCTTATTGATGTGTCCCAGCAGTATGACTTACCCTCTCTGTCCTTATTGCTGTGTCCCAGTAGTATGACTTACCCTCTGTCCTTATTGATGTGTCCCAGTAGTATGACTTACCCTCTCTGTCCATATTGATGTATCCCAGCAGTATGACTTACCCTCCCTGTCCTTATTGATGTGTACCAGCAGTATGACTTACCCTCACTGTCCTTATTGATGTGTCCCAGCAGTATGACTTGCCCTCTCTGTCCTTATTGCTGTGTCCCAGTAGTATGACTTCCCCTCTGTCCTTATTGATGTGTCCCAGTAGTATGACTTCCCCTCTCTGTCCATATTGATGTGTCCCAGCAGTATGACTTACCCTCTCTGTTCTTATTGATGTGTCCCAGTAGTATGACTTACCCTCTCTGTCCATATTGATGTGTCCCAGCAGTATGACTTACCCTCCCTGTCCTTATTGATGTGTCCCAGCAGTATGACTTACCCTCTCTGTCCTTATTGATTTGTCCCAGCAGCGCCCCGGTGATCTGATGAGTCGTCTGGTCCAGACTCAGTTTTAGGGGACTCTGTATGTCTGTGATGTGCTGTTAAGTATATAATACATATAGTCATCACAAACATAATGATGAAGTAGAGCAAGAGGCCATACGGGTCTGTAGCACTCACCTGGACTGTTATCAGTAACATAAATCGACTGAACTACTGAGATTTTTCTTTGACCTGTAAGTTGCATGTTTGTCAAGCTTATCCCTTAATTGCAAAATAAAAGTTGTAAAATGCTGAGCAGTAGAAGAAACTGTTGAAGTTTTTCCCAAGCTTGACCATACTGACCTTGATAGAAGGTATGTATTTACAAACAGGTATGTGTACAGGCAGCTATACACTAGCTAAATACCAAGACCATTTTGCATAACTTGGCACTTAACATTTTCAGAGCTTTTTACCCCTAACTGCCTATGTTGAGGACTCACCTTGACAGCAAATCAAGATGACCTTTGATCTAAGTCCAATACATTAAAAAAGATCTTCATAACATCCTAATGTTTTTGGCTGTAGGCCTTAGATAAGGTATTTTTGAATGTGCTCATTTTAGGAAACTATAGCACTTCATCATGGGTAGCTACTGACAACATATATTGACCCCAGGTCTCTACTGACAACACATATTGACACCAGGTTTCTACTGACAACATGTATTGACACCAGGTTTCTAATGACAACATGTATTGACCCTAGGTTTCTACTGACAACATGTATTGACCCTAGGTTTCTGCTGACAACATATATTGACCCCAGGTTTCTACTGACAACATATATTGACCCCAGGTTTCTACTGACAACATATATTGACCCCAGGTTTCTACTGACAACATATATTGACCCCAGGTTTCTACTGACAACATATATTGACCCCAGGTTTCTACTGACAACATATATTGACCCCAGGTTTCTACTGACAACATATATTGACCCCAGGTTTCTACTGACAACATATATTGACCCCAGGTTTCTACTGACAACATATATTGACCCCAGGTTTCTACTGACAACATATATTGACCCCAGGTTTCTACTGACAACATATATTGACCCCAGGTTTCTACTGACAACATATATTGACCCCAGGTTTCTACTGACAACATATATTGACCCCAGGTTTCTACTGACAACATATATTGACCCCAGGTTTCTACTGACAACATATATTGACCCTAGGTTTCTACTGACAACATATATTGACCCCAGGTTTCTACTGACAACACATATTGACCCTGGGTTTCTGAGTTCCTTGAAGAACCTGCTCATCAGATGGAGGGCCATTGGATGGACTCTGCACCATTTAACAAAATTCTTCCCTTCATCAGGTGAGCTAATCACAACAAATTACATACTAGGTCCCCTGGCTTTCCTGTTAACTCATTCACCCCTGAAATATTGAAACCATTGAATTGGAAGAGTTCAAATATGTCTTGAGGGGTGAATGAGTTATTTTTGTAAAGGGTTTCTTGTTACTTGATACTGACCTGTTTCAGTAGGAGTTGGACAAGTTGCTCATCTTGTTTATCCACAGCAATATACAAAGGCGTACAGCCATCTTGGACGAAGTTGACGTCTGCTCCGAGCTCTATCAAACACTCAGCTGCCTGATGATACAACAGCTAATAGTTATATATTTACCATTGTATGGCATTGCCACTATATAAGCCTATGAATGCAAATTGAATGGTGTTCAATACCTAAATGAATGATTGAAGTCATATCCCAGCTCAAAGAGACACTCAGCTGGCTAATTATACAAGTAAGTCAGATAAGTCAATACATACAGGTAAGTTAATACACATACAGGTAAGTCAATACACACAGGTAAGTCAATACATACAGGTAAATTAATACATACAGGTAAGTCAATACATACAGGTAAGTCAATACACACAGGTAAGTCAATACACACAGGTAAGTCAATACACTCAGGTAAGTTAATACATACAGGTAAGTCAATACATACAGGTAAGTCAATACACACAGGTAAGTCAATAAATACAGGTAAGTCAATACACTCAGGTAAGTTAATACATACAAGTAAGTCAATACATACAGGTAAGTCAATACACACAAGTAAGTCAATAAATACAGGTAAGTTAATACATACAGATAAGTCAATACATACAGGTAAATCAATACATACAGGTAAGTCAATACATACAGGTAAGTCAATACATACAGGTAAGTTTATACATACAGGTAGATTTCCAGTATTACATGCAGATAACAACATCTTAGAGCGTAGAACCTGCTCCAGCCCGAGGACGTACAGACACTCACTGGCAAGATCATGGACCTCTGTAACAGTAAACAAAGGTTGTTTATAAATGCACTGATATAAGTTGGGGTCGATAATTAGGTTGGGTCTATAATTTGGTTAAGATATACAGAAATAATGACATTACAAGAGACACAATGGTCCTGCATCGGTCATCTGGTATTAGTCTCAAACTTGAAGCCTTAAAAGTACACTAAAATAAAAGTACATGCAAAACATTAGTATTTATGACTATAAATCATTCAAAGGAACCTTCAGAGCCAGGTGAGCTAAAGAAAAAGTGACTAACCCGGGTCTGTGTTATGGTTCTGCAGACTTCTTACACATGAATGTTAAATTACCAGGGTCATAGTTATGGCGCTGAAGACAACTTTAACAGCTTGTTACTTACGAGGGTCATAGTTATGGCACTGAAGATGACTTTAACAGCTTGTTACTTACGAGGGTCTGAGTTATGGCGTTGTAGATGACTTTAACAGCTTGTTACTTACGAGGGTCATAGTTATGGCACGGAAGATGACTTTAACAGCTTGTTACTTTCGAGGGTCTGAGTTATGGCACTGAAGAGGACTTTAACAGCTTGTTACTTACGAGGGTCTAAGTTATGGCGCTGAAGAGGACTTTAACAGTTTGTTACTTACGAGGGTCTGAGTTATGGCACTGAAAATGACTTTAACAGCTTGTTACTTTCGAGGGTCTGAGTTATGGAGCTGAAGATGACTTTAACAGCATGTTACTTACGAGGGTCTGAATAATGGTGCTGAAGATGACTTTAACAGCATGTTACTTACGAGGGTCTGAATTATGGCGCTGAAGATGACTTTAACACCTTGTTACTTACGAGGGTCTGAGTGATGGCACTGAAGAGGACTTTAAAACCTTGTTACTTACGAGGTTCATAGTTATGGCGCTGAAGATGACTTTAACACCTTGTTACTTACGAGGGTCTGAGTTATGGCACTGAAGAGGACTTAAACAGCTTGTAACTTATGAGGGTCTGAGTTATGGCACTGAAGATGACTTTAACAGCTTGTTACTTACGAGGGTCTGAGTTATGGAGCTGTAGATGACTTTAACAGCTTGTTACTTACGTGGGTTTGAGTTATGGTGCTGAAGAGGACTTTTACAGCTTGTTACTTACGAGGGTCTGAGTTATGGCGCTGTAGATGACTTTAACAACTTGTTACTTACGAGGGTCTGAGTTATGGCACTGAAGAGGACTTTAACAGCTTGTTACTTACGAGGGTCTGAGTTATGGGACTGAAGATGACTTTAACAGCTTGTTACTTACAAGGGTCTGAGTTATGGCACTGAAGAGGACTTTAACAGCTTGCTACTTACGAGGGTCTGAGTTATGGGACTGAAGATGACTGTAACAGCTTGTTACTTACAAGGGTCTGAGTGAAGATGACTTTAACAGCTTGTAACTTACGAGGGTCTGAGTTATGGCGCTAAAGAGGACTTTAACAGCTTGTTACTTTCGAGGGTCTGAGTTATGACACTGAAGATGACTTAAACAGCTTGTTACTTAAGAGGGTCTGAGTTATGGCACTGAAGATGACTTAAACAGCTTGTTACTTAAGAGGGTCTGAGTTATGGCACTGAAGATGACTTTAACAGCTTGTAACTTACGAGGGTCTGAGTTATGGCGCTGTAGATGACTTTAACAGCTTGTTACTTATGAGGGTCTGAGTTATGGCACTGAAGAAGACTTAAACAGCTTGTTACTTACGAGGGTCTGAGTTATGGCGCTAAAGAGGACTTTAACAGCTTGTTACTTTCGAGGGTCTGAGTTATGACACTGAAGATGACTTAAACAGCTTGTTACTTACGAGGGTCTGAGTAATGGGGCTGAAGATGACTTTAACAGCTTGTTACTTACGAGGGTCTGAGTTATGGCGCTAAAGAGGACTTTAACAGCTTGTTACTTTCAAGGGTCTGAGTTATGACACTGAAGATGACTTAAACAGCTTGTTACTTAAGAGGGTCTGAGTTATGGCACTGAAGATGACTTTAACAGCTTGTTACTTGCGAGGGTCTGAGTTATGGCACTGCAGAGGACTTTAACAGCTTGTTACTTACGAGGGTCTGAATAATGGCGCTGAAGATGACTTAAACAGCTTGTTACTTACAAGGGTCTAAGTTATGGCACTGAAGAGGACTTTAACAGCTTGTTACTTATGAGGGTCTGAGTTATGGCGCTGAAAAGGACTTTAACAGCTTGTTACTTACGAGGGTCTGAGTTATGGCACTGATGAGGACTTTCACAGCTTGTTACTTACGAGGGTCTGAGTTATGGCATTGAAGATGACTTTAACAGCTTGTTACTTACGAGGGTCTGAGTAATGGTGCTGAAGATGACTTTAACAGCTTGTTACTTTCGAGGGTCTGAGTTATGGCACTGCAGAGGACTTTAACAGCTTGTTACTTACGAGGGTATGAGCTATGGCACTGAAGAGGACTTTAACAGCTTGTTACTTATGAGGGTCTGAGTTATGGCGCTGAAAAGGACTTTAACAGCTTGTTACTTACGAGGGTCATAGTTATGGCGCTAAAGAGGACTTTAACAGCTTGTTACTTTCGAGGGACTGAGTTATGGCACTGAAGATGACTTTAACAGCTTGTTACTTATGAGGGTCTGAGTTATGGCGCTGAAAAGGACTTTAACAGCTTGTTTCTTACGAGGGTCATAGTTATGGCGCTAAAGAGGACTTTAACAGCTTGTTTCTTTCGAGGGTCTGAGTTATGGCACTGAAGATGACTTAAACAGATTGTTACTTACGAGGGTCTGAGTTATGGCGCTGAAAATGACTTTAACAGCTTGTTACTTACGAGGTTCAGAGTTATGGCGCTGAAGATGACTTTAACAGCTTGTTACTTACAAGGGTCTGAGTTATGGTACTGAAAATGACTTTAACAGCTTGTTACTTACGAGGGGCTGAGTTATGGCACTGAAGATGACTTTAACTACTTGTTACTTACGAGGGTCTGAGTTATGGCGCTGAAAATGACTTTAACAGCTTGTTACTTACGAGGGGCTGAGTTATGGCACTGAAGATGACTTTAACAGCTTGTTACTTTCGAGGGTCTGAGTTATGGCGCTGAAGAGGACTTTAACAGCTTGTTACTTACAAGGGTCTGAGTTATGTCTCTGAAGATGACTTTAACAGCTTGTTACTTACAAGGGTCTGAGTTATGGCACTGAAGCAGACTTAATTACTTACAAGGGTCTCAATTATGGCGCTGAAGATGACTTTAAAAGATTGTTACTTACGAGGGTCATAGTTAGGGCGCTGAAGATGACTTTAACAGATTGAGTTATGGGACTGAAGATGACTTTAACAGCTTGTTACATACGAGGGTCTGAGTTATGGCACTGATGAGGACTTTCACAGCTTGTTACTTCGCTGAAGATGACTTTAACAGCTTGATACTTACGAGGGTCTGAGTTATGGGACTGAAGATGACTTTAACAGCTTGTTACTTACGAGGGTCTGAGTTATGGCACTGAAGAAGACTTAATTACTTACAAGGGTCTGAATTATGGCGCTGAAGATGACTTTAACAGATTGTTACTTACGAGGGTCATAGTTATGGCGCTGAAGATGACTTTAACAGCTTGTTACTTACGAGGGTCTAAGTTATGGCGCTGAAGAGGACTTTAACAGCTTGTTACTTACAAGGGTCTGAGTTATGGCACTGAAGAGGACTTTAACAGCTTGTTACTAACGAGGGTCTGAGTTATAACCTGAATAGGACTTTAACGGCTTGTTACTTACGAGGGTCTGAGTTATGGCGCTGAAGAAGACTGAAGAGAATTTCATGGCACCCTTCCTTGATAAAACTGTCACTCATCCAACGTCCCCCGCCCTCAGACAGGATCTGCATGGCTACACAAGCCTATTGTAATAGAGGATGTTTAGAGTACATAGTACAGGATCTGCATGGCTACACAAGCCTATCGTTATTGAGGATGTTTAGAGTACAGAGTACAGGATATGCAGGGCTACACAAGCCTATTGTAATAGGGGATGTTTAGAGTACAGAGTACAGGATCTCCATGGCACCACCACAATCCTATTGTAATAGAGGATGTTCAGAGTACAGAGTACAGGATCTCCATGGCACCACCACAATCCTATTGTAATAGAGGATGTTCAGAGTACAGAGTACAGGATCTCCATGGCACCACCACAATCCTATTGTAATAGAGGATGTTGAGAGTACAGAGGACAGGATCTGCATGGCTACACAAGCCTCTCGTTATTGAGGATGTTTAGAGTACAGCGTACAGGATATGCATGGCTACAAAAGCCTATCGTTATTGAGGATATGCATGGCTACACAAGCCTATTTTAATAGAGGATGTTTAGAGTACAGAGTCCAGGATATGCATGGCTACACAAGCCTATTGTATTAGAGGATGTTTAGAGTACATAGTACAGGCTCTGCATGGCTACACAAGCCTATCGTTATTGAGGATATGCATGGCTACACAAGCCTATCGTTATTGAGGATGTTGAGAGTACAGAGTACAGGATATTCATGGCTACACAAGCCTATTGTAATAGGGGATGTTTAGAGTACATAGTACAGGCTCTGCATGGCTACACAAGCCTCTCGTTATTGAGGATGTTTAGAGTACAGAGTACAGGATCTGTATGGCTACACAAGCTTGTCACAATTCCGTCTTTGCGTATTGTAGAGTTATCTTCTCTTGTGAGCAGGGATTGATTGTTAAGTCATTGGTTTGTGTGGGAAAATTACGCTGTTTTCTCAAAAAATTATGACATTACTCTCACAAACCAATGACGTAACAATCAATACCTGCTCTCAAGAGAAGATAACTCTGCAATACGCAAAGACAGAATAGAAGATGCATGTTATAGAATACAGGATCTGTATGGCTACACAAGTCTATCGAAATAGAGGATGTTTAGAGTATGTAAAAGACAATACATTGACTATAAAAAATATCTCAATTCTGAAAGTGCTTTGCATGAATGAAACTGTATCTTGAGAAAAGGAATAAAGTCAACATGTTCAATTACTTGATGATTTTACAGAAGTAGGTAAATTAATGTATCAATCCTGTGTGCTGGTAATTCTGAGTTAATTACTAAATAAGCTAGCATGTAGAATTATATTCCCTTTCTTAGGGACGATGTTATAGCTTCAGTCAATGGTTGAGATTTGGTGTAGAATTAATAGTTCCTTCCTTAGGGACAATGTTACAGCTTAGTCAATGGTTGATATTTGGTGTAGACTTATTTAGTGTACGACTTTCCAGTAGTTTTTTGCATTATAGAATATGAATCTGCAAATTATCTTTGGTTGAAGTTGGACTGATTTTAGAGCAGTTATTGAATGGAAACCAAGAAACAAATCAGACTTAAGTAGCCCCTATAATTAGGAATAATCTGCATACATCACATTGGCAACCACACTTAGCGTGAGACAAGCCATTATGAATCTGTGTATACCTAATGTGACTGAAATGGAATCGTTTTAGGCCAATTACCTATGGTACATGTACTGAAAACAATTCACCCATCAGAATCAAGTAGCCCTAATAAATATGCACAGATATTGGTGATCAAACCTAGCCTGATTACTTGCCATTATGTGCATGCGAGAGTTTTATTGTTGTAACTTTTAGATTATTTTGACCTTGATCTGACCTCTTTCACAACTCCAAGGTTGTTGCTATGTGTCCTCATTGCTATGCTGATAACTTCGGCGAGTTTATTGTGAAGACTTCTATCTTTGTACAACTTGTCAGATGCCAGAACCTGTAACAAGATCAACCCCTTCCTTTGGATGTCTGAAATAAATACAAACACATGTCTTCATTAACACTTTATTTTACTGTGATTTCTAATTAACCTCAAAACACTTCAGTTAAGAAAATGGGCCTTCATTATTCAATATACATGTTACATATTTGTTTAATTACATATTATACAGAGTATGGCTATGTATTGATACTTTAATAACACAACGATACGATACATATCATGCTATTGTGGTCACGATACGATACATATCCCAATATTGTGGTCACAATACGTATCACGATATTGTGGTCACGATACAATACGTATCACGATATTGTGGGCACGATACAATACGTATCACGATATTGTGGACACGATACAATACATATCACGATATTGTGGTAATGATACGATACATATCACGATATTGTGGGCACGATACAATACGTATCACGATATTGTGGTCACGACACAATACGTATCACGATATTGTGGTCACGACACAATACGTATCACGATATTGTGGTCACGTTACAATACGTATCACGATATTGTGGTCATGATACGATACATATCACGATATTGTGGTCACGATACGATACGTATCACGATATTGTGGTCACGATACGATACCTATCACGATATTGTGGTCAAGATATATATACAATGTAGTAACAGCAGAAGCCAAGAGAATGTTGCAAATTTTTAATGGCAATATTACAACAGGACATAGAATTGGTCCAAAATGGACATGCCTTTTAATTAAAGTTTCACACAATTTACGTCTTTCTACGTGCATGCCGAGCTGGAGCTCTCACTCACCATGTTGGAACCGATAGGAGTTTTATGATAAGACCAAATTCAGAAACAACAAAATCTAGAAAATATTGTAGGTGCATCGTAACCTCCCACAAAATATTATGTATCATACCGTATTCAAAACATCGTGATATATCGTCACACATCATATTGTTGCAGCCCTACTACAGAGTGCTATTGGGCAAGATGTCTGCAATTTTTGCAGCTGACTTTACTGATTCAGCACGCTGCGGCTTTAAAACAGAAGTGAGTTGTTTTCAGCGGTTAAGAGCCAAGAAACTCGTCCTTTAAACTCATTGCTTGACAAAGGAAACAGAATTTCCGAAAGCTTGCAAAATAAGTTTTTAATTCGTGTTTGTGTTCAAAACACACTTGGCCTTTATGATTCATAGCGAACTGAAGAATCTTCTTCCTTTCATATTATACAATCCATCACATGGGAAATTTATTATGTATAAAATCTATCGCACAAGAAATCTATCAAATAAGCAATTAGTTACATATCAATCTATTACATCTACAATATAAAGCATACAATACACTGTACTATCTATCATATATGTAACAGAGGTCATTAATATGTCAATGCCTAACCTTAACCCTAACCCTAACCCTAAGAGTCTTATGCTCTACCAATAACCTAAAGAGAAATTCTCCCTAGCCGAGTTGGTAAGAAGCGGCTAGCATTTTACTAAGGTGACATCCCCCCCCACAAAGAACTCTTCTCAAGTTTTCCAAGGGTCATAGCGATTCCTGTGAATGTATCGCTGAGTAAATATGTTAACATTACCCGGTTCCCTACCTGGGAGCTAATTTAACACAGGTTACTATTTTTTTCAAGGCATCCGCTTGGAGTCGAACCTGGGCTTACTATCCAGAATAACCTAAAGAAAAAAATTCTCCCTAGCCAAGTTGGTAGGAAGCAGCTAGTATGTTACAAGGGTGACACATATATAGTCAATTATATGTACATTGCATCAGAATTTAGATAATAGTAAACTTTCACATTAGATGAAATACATGTTCAGAAAGTTGACATGAATGGACTAAATATATTACTGACATACTTACACACAGATTCCCTGTAGTTCTCAAGAACCTCCATCACGTGTGTTGCCGTGTCAACTATGTTTAGCAGCTCCAAATTACTCCCTGGTAAATTATAGCATATAGCATGTATATCTAGGTAAGTATAAAAAACAGTATTTTATCTCTGTGTATAAAAGATACACGAGCCCCATATATGTGGTTATAGAGTGGTATTCATGTATCCCACTTAGGTGCACTCCGTGACCTGTACTGTTATGACGTCACAATCAGATGACAGTATTTTATCACAACTGAATTCATGTCAAGAACCTTGTTTGCCAGACTGGCAATCTTTTGACAGCAAATAAAACCACCCCAAAAATCTACAGCAAATTACACCACCTCAAAAAAAACTAGGAAATGTTGTACAAGGTCGCTCTGAAGGCCTTCCGTGGATTTTAAAATCTGAGGTACTCCTCAGGTTAACTGTACAGTTTTCTGCTCTTTCCATTGGCCTTTGTGTAATTCAGTATATTTATTGTTGTATTTGCATTGTTGGATATTGGTATTCTGGGTGTAGAATTGAGGTCAGAACTATAAAGTGGGCATCAAATCCACGCTATCACAAGGAGGCAAGCACACCAGCATACCCTGACTCCTGCATACACACACGCAGGCTGGCCTCCTGTAAAATCTCATTGTCCTTAAACCGTCAGTATACCTACCTACAGTGGACAACACACTGAGACACTCCAGACTGGCCTCCTGTAAAATCTCATTGTCCTTAGACCGTCAGTATACCTACCTACAGTGGACAACACACTGAGACACTCCAGACTGGCCTCCTGTAAAATCTCATTGTCCTTAAACCGTCAGTATACCTACCTACAGTGGACAACACACTGAGACACTCCAGACTGGCCTCCTGTAAAATCTCATTGTCCTTAAACCGTCAGTATACCTACCTACAGTGGACAACACACTGAGACACTCCAGACTGGCCTCCTGTAAAATCTCATTGTCCTTAAACCGTCAGTATACCTACCTACAGTGGACAACACACTGAGACACTCCAGACTGGCCTCCTGTAAAATCTCATTGTCCTTAAACCGTCAGTATACCTACCTACAGTGGACAACACACTGAGACACTCCAGACTGGCCTCCTGTAAAATCTCATTGTCCTTAAACCGTCAGTATACCTACCTACAGTGGACAACACACTGAGACACTCCAGACTGGCCTCCTGTAAAATCTCATTGTCCTTAAACCGTCAGTATACCTACCTACAGTGGACAACACACTGAGACACTCCAGACTGGCCTCCTGTAAAATCTCATTGTCCTTAAACCGTCAGTATACCTACCTACAGTGGACAACACACTGAGACACTCCAGACTGGCCTCCTGTAAAATCTCATTGTCCTTAAACCGTCAGTATACCTACCTACAGTGGACAACACACTGAGACACTCCAGACTGGCCTCCTGTAAAATCTCATTGTCCTTAAACCGTCAGTATACCTACCTACAGTGGACAACACACTGAGACACTCCAGACTGGCCTCCTGTAAAATCTCATTGTCCTTAAACCGTCAGTATACCTACCTACAGTGGACAACACACTGAGACACTCCAGACTGGCCTCCTGTAAAATCTCATTGTCCTTAAACCGTCAGTATACCTACCTACAGTGGACAACACACTGAGACACTCCAGACTGGCCTCCTGTAAAATCTCATTGTCCTTAAACCGTCAGTATACCTACCTACAGTGGACAACACACTGAGACACTCCAGACTGGCCTCCTGTAAAATCTCATTGTCCTTAAACCGTCAGTATACCTACCTACAGTGGACAACACACTGAGACACTCCAGACTGGCCTCCTGTAAAATCTCATTGTCCTTAAACCGTCAGTATACCTACCTACAGTGGACAACACACTGAGACACTCCAGACTGGCCTCCTGTAAAATCTCATTGTCCTTAAACCGTCAGTATACCTACCTACAGTGGACAACACACTGAGACACTCCAGACTGGCCTCCTGTAAAATCTCATTGTCCTTAAACCGTCAGTATACCTACCTACAGTGGACAACACACTGAGACACTCCAGACTGGCCTCCTGTAAAATCTCATTGTCCTTAAACCGTCAGTATACCTACCTACAGTGGACAACACACTGAGACACTCCAGACTGGCCTCCTGTAAAATCTCATTGTCCTTAAATCGTCAGTTAACCTACCTACAGTGGACAACACACTGAGACACTCCAGACTGGCCTCCTGTACAATCTCATTGTCCTTAAACGAGTCGAGATTGGTCAGGATCTTAGAGTGAATCCCGTCAATAAAGCACTGATATCGTACTACAGTGGACAACACACTTAGACACTCCAGACTGGCCTCCTGTAAAATCTCATTGTCCTTAGACCATCAGTATACCTACCTACAGTGGACAACACACTGATACACTCCAGACTGGCCTCCTGTAAAATCTCATTGTCCTTAAATGAGTCGAGATTGGTCAGGATCTTAGAGTGAATCCCGTCAATAAAGCACTGATATCGTACTACAGTGGACAACACACTTAGACACTCCAGACTGGCCTCCTGTAAAATCTCATTGTCCTTAAACGAGTCGAGATTGGTCAGGATCTTAGAGTGAATCCCGTCAATAAAGCACTGATATCGTACCACATCTGAAATGTGATACAATAACTTTGTAACATATTGATTCAATTTTTTATCCCAAATTCTTCAAAGACATTTTTTACCATCATCAACTGCAATGAAATCAAGAACCATGACACTGGTAAAAATTAAAGTGTAACTTATCTGATGGTGACAAATCAACAACACCTCAGAACAGCACCTGCCGTCATTTATTTTTCTACATTTTTCAGCAGATAGATTAAACCTTTCACCACAATGTAACTTTAGTAGACTCTACCATGCATTTATCTGAATGAGTCCATAATGGTCTACAGTGGCGAAAGGGTTTTAATATCTGATATGAAGAAATCATTTGAAACATCAAAACCTCGATCAGTCACAATGGCCCAGCTGCCAACTTTTTATTGCAACTACCAGGTGGTTGAATTTTCCTTGCGTTATTTTCTATGCTCTTCAAATCTCTCTAGATCTGTAAAGACCCAAACTGTTCATCCTAGACTTGTTACATACATTTTTGTATATCTTAATTTATAGGTTTGATTGCGTTCATTAAACATTTCACCGAGATGATCCCTATCTGCAAACATTACATCATCTGACATGAATTTTGTACTGACCTACATCTCCCAGACAAGCAAGCATGCTGATGACCTCGATCTGTATCTCAGGGTTCTCGGGGAACTTGTTCATCGCCTTGGTGATAAGAGCCTGTATGCCGTCTCTAATGACAACATGTTTGTATGCCTCACTGTGTGAATGAAAACATTCATTAATCTCCAATGTATATTATTTCCTCTTGATTTTGTATATATCTGTCCTTCAGATCAAGTGACTTAGAATTCTTACCTGCCTTATTTGACTACTGTGACTTTCAATGAAGATCAATGTCTATATCATATTTGACAATTGCCCATCCCACCTAATAACTGGTCATTAAAACATCGACCCTAAGGCTCCTGGAAGTTAAAAGAAGACGTCAAAAGATTTAAAAATACTTGACCCTGGTTACGTTGAAGATATGTCAAGGTCACTTGCTTTAACAACTTTAATAGCCCCCAGCCCCTTTTACTGCCTGCAGTATTAGAGTGTGATTTGGACAATATTATTCTGACAGCTGACTTTACTGAATAAGCTGATTGTGGCTTATATTACGGAGCTGTTTTCAGCAGTATAGAGCTAAGACACTGATCAGTCATACTCTTTGTCTGACAGAGGAAACAAACATTTTCATAAGCTTGCAAAAATGTTTTTAATTACTGCTTGTGTTCAAAACAAACTTTGTATATAAGTGTAATCAAAAGGAAAGGATGGCCATGACAATGTCTACTGGATATAACGGCTTTAATCCAAGTTTACACTGACTAGTTTCGACACATGAGGCGTGTCATCATCAGAACAAATTTAAATACAAAATGGCAGGTACAGGTAAAAAAATACAGTGCCTAACCTGGTGAGAGTAATTACAAGGTTTGCTTGAATGACATAATACATAATGGACAATCAAATGACATCAAAGGCTGGCTAAATATGCGGGAATTAATATTCAGTGTTCATCGCACAAGCTAAGATAGCAGTATTTATACTAGTTATTATTTACCAATAGTAACAGGTATACCTACTGGAAGATACAGAGTCCTCTGATGGCCTTACAGCCCGCCTCCACAGCCCATGGCTCACTCAGGTGTACAGTGAGGCCGTCAATGATAGCTACATGACAGTTCCTCTCCATCAACTGGCCACTCAGGGTCTCTGTAGGGGTCAAGGTCATCAGATTCAACAAAGGTTTTCCCCTGGGTTTTAAATTCATCTGAGATGTATACTAGCTACAAACATGTCGGTTAACTTCTAAGTTTGAAGTCTTCTAGGTAGGTTATCTTAATAAGAACTAAAAGTCAGCTATATTATTGATAAAATGTTCAGTTATGTTTACACATTAAATAATGAAACAAGTCCATTGGGTTATTTATTTTAACTTTGAGTTTAGGAAAAGGTTCCTCACAAATGGAAACAAACATTTTTGTATATCATTTTTATGATGTGACCAAAACTATTTAGCATTAAACATCATTCTGTTCCATGCTTATATTTACATTTTCCCTTTTTTTAATGTTCATTTCTAACTTCACAATGCACTTTTGATTTCAAATTTTACAGTGTTTGTTCAAGAGATTATGGTCTCATAACACGGAACTGGCCTTTGTAGTGTTATATAGTGGCACATTTTGGCAATGCAGATTAAATGTAAATATACATTAAATGGAAACAACATATCCAAAAAGGACCTACAACTTTGATTTCATGATAGCCACCTGTCAGCCAATTCCATATGAAAAACAAGGGACCATGGGAAACATACATGTGGAGTTTGAGAAAAAATTCTTTCAGTACTTTCTGAGAAATAGGACTAGTAAGCTAAAGGATTGTTTAAGGATGAACAGGCGACGGACCACGGATATGGCTGATGGTACTGGCTAAAAATACAGCAGAAACCCGTCTAGATCTACTGCTGATATAGACACACTAAGTAATACCTAATGAAAATGATGAGATGTATGGTATTATGTAATAGATCTAGGTACATATACCATGGATGTTTTGACTAATGTTTGGAAGCCATGAGAAAATAGTTCATACTCAAATAAATTAAACTTAATGGTTATGTTACTGAAAGTCAATGACCAACGTGTTGAATTGGTTGCTACGTCACTTTGTAACAACCATTATGGTTGCTACCTCACTTTGTAACAATCATTTTGGTTGCTACGTCACTTTGTAACAACCACGTTGGTTGCTATGTCACTTTGTAACAACCATTTTGGTTGCTACGTCACTTCGTACCATTGTCAGCTGCTAGCCAATATATGGCCTCACAAGCGGCAACAAACACCTCACTTTTTTGACGGAACATCAAAATGGCACCCAGACAAAGTGTGTGGATCGGCAATCTACAAATACAAAGGATGAAGTACAAAATAGGATTCATCTACATCTTGAAGAATACTCAGTGCTACTTTGTCCAAATGCTGTACAGTCAAAGTCTAAATATCAGATTTGTTATATGAACAAAATATACGTATATGAACTATTTATCAACTTCTTTAAAATCTTAAAACAATTCTAAACATGATGTAGTTTTTGTATAGAAACTTCTGCCACAGCAGCACAAACATATTTGTCATTAATTACTTCAGTCTTCATCATCACTTTTGACCAAATTAGCTTCTTGTGTCTCAATTCAATCGATCAATAAATACAACATACTGATTCTGGCCGTCCACGACATCCAGCCCTATCCAGCGACGCGCCTCCGGTCTGTACTCCATCAGAGCTGATATAGCCCGACAACTACAAATCTGTTAATATCCCATGTGTCATCACATCTCATTATTGATTCAGATTGTCATAGGTCATAATAGGTCACAAATCAAATATAAACATGATTCAGGTTGTCATAGGTCACAAATCAAATATAAACATGATTCAGGTTGTCATAGGTCACAAGTCACAAATCATATAATACATGATTCAGGTTGTCATAGGTCACAAATCAACTATAAACATGACTCAGGTTGTCATAGCTAGGTCACAAGTCACATCATATAATACATGATTCAGGTTGTCATAGGTCACAAGGCACAAATCATATAATACATGATTCAGGTTGTCATAGGTTAAAGGTCACAAATCAAATACAAACATGAATCAGATTGTCAAAGATCAAATGTCATACATCAAATTAAAAAATGATTTAAACTCAAATACATTGTAGAAACAGTTGATTCAGATTGTCATAGATAAAGTCCCAGAGGTCTTAAACCAGGTTGAAACTTGACTCCATAGGTTATAAATTGATTTAAATTGAATTGGCAGAGGTCTCACAGAAAGATCATACAATTAATATAAACATGCACAGGTCAAATGACATAAATCAAATTTAAAAAAGTGATTTAAGGCACCCAGTATACCAAAACAAATATTTGTAAAATGTTTGAAGTATCAGTTATCAGTGGGTGAGATAGTAGAACTAATTGCTACAACATGGGTTGTGTAAAATGTTCAGTGCTTGACCAAATTATACCCGTTGTCAGTGTACATTTCTTAAATGTTAACTGTTGCTTTGTGTCTCAAATAAGCAATCAGTATTTTCTTCAATTATAGTTTACAAAACAACCCACCTGAACATCAATGTTATCAAGGTGTTTGGACATGGCTATGTTGACGAGGTCACACCAATCATACAGAGGACCAAGATCTAGGGAATTTTGTTCATCATTCTGAGAAAAGTTGTATTTCACTGTAACATCAAGGATCGTATTATTATAAATCTGCAAAACAGGAATAAAACACTGAAACAAAATGTTGATATGAGAGGGTGACAAGAGACCCAATAAATAGGACCTTGACCTTGTGTTGCATGGGCCTTAAACAAATTGGGACAAGTTTGTGGTCAATCACTGCACCTAACCATATAAGTAACCATGAAAACCTTTTGTTTATGACCCTAATTGTGTATTAAGAAATCCAGCCGTTACTTACACAGTAGACAGAGGAGAATGAGACTTACACAGTAGACAGAGGAGGATGAGACTTACACAGTAGACAGAGGAGGATGAGACCATGATGCTGGACAGCTACGTTTGACCTCTGTTCATACATTAGCGGGACGAGGGTCGTCCTCAGGAAGTTCTCTGCTGTCACAAACTCCTTCACAGAATCTTAAATAAAACAGAACAATTTTCTTTGATTATGTCTAATTTGAAATTTTGTCTCATTGTGTTCTTTCAAATATGACAATATACCAAGCCAAGAAAATGAGGATAATATACTGATGACCAGCTACAGACAAAGACAATAAAGTCTGTGATATGGTTTCTACATGGTAATTTGACTTTTTTTGTGCAACAAGAATTTATATATAAACTGTGAAATCTAACCATTGCTATGTTATACTGACCACACAGTCTACGAGATACTGACAACACAGTCTAGGACATACTGACCACACAGTCTAGGACATACTGACCACACAGTCTAGGGGATACTGACCACACGCTCTATGAGATACTGACCACAGAGTCTAGGAAATACTGACAACACAGTCCAGAAGATACTGACCACACAGTCTAGGGGATACTGACCACGCAGTCTAAGACATACTGACCACACAGTCTAGGGTATACTCACCACACAGTCTAGGTGATACTGACCACACAGTCTAGGACATACTGACCACACAGTCTAAGAGATCCTGACCTCACAGTCTAGGAAATACTGACCACACAGTCTAGGACATACTGACCACACAGTCTAAGAGATACTGACCTCACAGTCTAGGAAATACTGACCACACAGTCCAGAAGATACTGACCACACAGTCTAGGGAATACTGACCACGCAGTCTAAGACATACTGACCACCCAGTCTAGGGGATACTCACCACACAGTCTAGGTGATACTGACCACACACTCTATGAGATACTGACCACAGAGTCTAGGAAATACTGACCACACAGTCCAGAAGATACTGACCACACAGTCTAGGAGATACTGACAACACAGTCTAGGACATACTGACCACACAGTCTAGGACATACTGACCACACAGTCTAGGGGATACTGACTGCACGCTCTAGGAGATACTGACCACAGAGTCTAGGTAATACTGACCACACAGTCCAGAAGATACTGACCACACAGTTTGAAGGTACTGACCACATGCTCTAGGAGATACTGACCACACAGTCTATGACATACTGACCACACAGTCTAGGAGATACTGACCTCACAGTCTAAGACATACTGACCACACAGTCTAGGAGATACTGACCACACAGTATAGGGGATACTGACCACACAGTCTAGAAGATACTGTTCACACACTCTAGGAGATACTGACCACACAGTCTAGGACATACTGACCACACAGTCTAGGGTTTACTGACCACACAGTCTAGGGGATACTGACCACACAGTCTAGGGGTTACTGACCACACAGTCTAGGAGATACTGACCACACAGTCTAGGAGATACTGACCACACAGTCTAGGGGATA